AGGTTCAAACCCCAAATGGGATCTCGTACCCCCTAACGTTCGGGGGTCAACCCGGGGGCACTCGAACGTTCGGCCTGGTAACCATGCTCGTTTGTTCAACAACAATCATTAGGGAAAAAATATATATATATTCCTTTTTTAGGATGCCACATAATATTAAAGAAAAATTATTAATTAATAATGGTAGACTAATTGACCCATCGGTTGCTGCATGAGGATAAATAAGTGAAATGTCATTTTGGTTTATTGTATATTTGTGACCACCACCAATAAAAGTGATCGACACCTTTACATGAGGTTATTCTGCTCCACAAAAACCCCTCGGAGTTAAACATCGCAGGACGATAAATTTATGATCATCTGCCACTCATTGTGTGAATAGTTCTTGAAGCATTGCTTGATAATCGTGTTAGTCATTGAAAAAGCCACTCTATCTTGGTTGTTGCGGTGTATGTGTTATTTTTACAAAGGACTAGAAAATGGTACTGCAAATGACAATGAACTTTCATGTTAAAAACCACAATATACATAGTTTTTCTCTTCGTGGTTAGGGTTTCGATGCAGACCTTGCTTGATTAATAAAAACTACCAGGTGGCTAATTGAATTAAACTTCTATCACTAAAAGTTCTTCAAGAGACATGATGTTGTATGCAGAGGTCCATTTGGACTGAGCGGTCGAGCAGGGATTAGTTAGATTCATTATGGGACAAAGTTGGCAAACAAAATTAGTTCGACAATTTGTTATGCTTGGCAGGGGTGGTTTGAACTAAATATGCGAATTAACCAAGTGAACAACGGACTAAATAACCAAACTTCCTAATAAATCGAATGGGCAAACAATCTACTATTATGACCAGTGTCCTCGGGGAAACAATGCATCACGAATCTAAGAAATGAGGAGAACAATTGTCAAGGTGTTTGTCATGTTATAGGAAATGAATCTAGTTGGGGTCCATCTCGGTACCTTGTCATGTTTAATTCGCAATCCGTCAGGGTTGTGTTTTATGCCCTTAAGACCTTCAACATCCATTCAACTTTCAATGTTGGTGGTCGTTTGGAAGGGTGGGCAATTTTTAGGTGAAGGGTTAGCAAGGGGCGAGGCATGCGAAGAACCGGTAGTTGCCCGGAGGAGGCCAAAAAAGTGCGTTGGAGGTTGCGGCCCTCGAGTTTTAAACATTTCAGAATCGAAAGAGTGCATGTTCACTTTTATCAAATAAAAAAACACTTTGAATACAACGTGTGCCCTTTCTATTCGAATTTACAAATAAAAAAGTAATTCAATAAAACATTATTATTATTATTATTATTATTATTATTATTTTACGCCAGTGTCTGCCCTTGTGCTCCCCGCCACTGACATGTTGCATGTTGCAGATCTCTCTCTCTCTCTCTCTCTCTCTCTCTCTCTCTCTCTCACACACACACACACACACACACACACACACACACACTCATTCACTCTCACATACACACGTGTATACACACACACACACATTCTCCTATCTACCGGTGGGGAGCGCCACCTGGTGGAAACTGGGTCCAACGTCCCATGAACATCTTACCTGGATTCGAACTCAAGTCTATATTTCAACAGTTCATGGGTGTACCAATTGTCTACTGCGTGGGCGCGGGCCCTAAGGTAGCGAAAGCAATGCGGCTAAGAGCGCACACAAGAGCGCGCGCGCGCGAGAGAGAGAGAGAGAGAGAGAGAGAGAGAGAGAGAGAGAGAGAGAGAGAGAGAGTTTTGTTCCATTTATTGATACAAGTGTGTGTGTGTGTGTGT